GCAATTTGCATATGCACGATTTTCAGTTTAAAACAAAAAAAGCTCGACTTGAAACAGACAATAACAACTGTTTGTTGCAAGATGGTTGACAAAATAAATGGTCTACAGTGATTTATCGACCTTGTTGTAAAACGTCAAACTCAAGAATGACACCCCATGCATGTGTATAGGGCTACTGCGTTGTGCACGTGCATCCCATGCATTGTTTTCAGGGGTGGTGATACAGAGAAATGGTGGTGCGTTCATAACATGTCAGTCTCTGAAATGTTTCTTAACGCTTATTTATAAATACTTCCTATCCAAATTGGACCGCCTCCGTGGTGTAGTGGTTTGAACGTCCGTCCGGAGAGCGGAAAGTCGCGGGTTCGATCCCCGACCGCGTCATACCAAAAGACGTTAAAATATGGTACTTGTTTGTCCCTGCCTGGCGCTCGGCATTAATGGGTACAACAAGGACTGGTCGGCTCGGATTCAGTATAATGTGTCTGAGTGGGGTATTCATGCTTCAGTGCGGCATGGTATCTCAGTGGGCTAGCACCTTAAAACCAGCTTCATTCTGGGCTAGTACAAGCAGCCGCACATACACACGCATGCACGTCGTCATATGAGCGAAAAATTCTCAAGCACGACGTTAAACCCAATTTCACCTCACCTCATGCTATCCAAATTGAAAGTTCAGGTTCCTTTATTTCCTTTGAAGAGTATATTAGAGATGTTGCGTTATGATAAATATGACATTGTGTATGTTTCAGCATAGTTATGCCAAACTCACAAAAGAAATGCAAGAAATACACGAAATCATGCTTCGTATGATGAATTAGTAGCATGTGCAAAATTCCGATGTGGAGCATATCGTCTTTTCGTTAGCACAAGAATATATACCGATGATTGATTTTTCTGATGTGAAAATCTCCAGCAAACGTTGAAAGGTCTCGGTTAGAGCTTATCGATGTACTTACAAAATGTGATTTCGGAAACTGATGAGCATCATGTTGTATGTCAGTGTAGCAACGATATACTTCATGTTTGTTTACGGCGTTACCTTGTAAATATATAGAGTTATGTCCCCTTGCAGTAACTTCATAACTTCATAAATTTACCTATGTACCGTTCACGGCCAGAATGATAGATTGACTGATTGTTGTTTAACGCCGCACTCAGCAATATTCCAGCTATATGGCGACGGTCTGTAAATAATCTGTCTGGACCAGACAATCCAGTGATCAACTGCGTGAGCATCGATCTGCGCAATGCGGGAAGCGATGACATGTGTCAACCAAAGCAGAGCCTGACCACCCGATCCCGTTAGTTGCCTCTTAAGACAAGCTTGAAGACCAATATCTTACCCGGATCTTCACGAGTCGTCTTCACGACCAGAAGGTGAGGTTATTGCATTGTGATCTATTAAGTTAAACATTGCAGCGTATTGCTTATGTTTAGTGCGATTGCTATGTTGGTTGGTAGGCTGGAAGGCTAGTAGGCTGGTTATTATTATTGGATATATATAGCGCACATATCAATCTCAACTCCCTGGGGATCATACAACTCTTGCTGCCACAAGGCGCACCGAGTTATTGCGGCTTCCCCATCCTTACGAGGTACCCAGTCACAGCTGGGTGGACTGGGACAAATAGTCAGACTCACAGTACTTTGTCCAAGTTTACTGCATGTTGCTGTACCCGCAACTAGGTGTTTGCACGTATTCATGTGGCCACCATCCGGTCATTTACCAACGAATTCGTGGGTTCTTTTAAGTGCACAGGGTTGTGCGTTGTACACTAGGGGTTGTGACAACACTAAAATATTCTGCACACAAAGTTGACTCCAAGGTTTTTACACCCGGTCACAGGTGGGCTCGATCCCGGCACCTCATGCCCGCTGGATCACTAGCCTGGCGGCTTAGCCAGCGCCTTAGCCAGCTCGCCCACCACATATGCTCGCCCACCACGGTTGGTTTGTTATACTTCATGGTCTTCACGGTTATTTGCCTCACATCATGAGAGAGCCATACACACCTGGAGCAGGTGACATGGAGTACAGAAACACATACACTAACAGATAACAGAACAAATCATAGATAAAAACGTAGCACTTTACAAGTGTCATAAAAGCCGGATATATTACAATGTCCAAAGGAAATGCACTGAAGTGAAGATTAAGAGCTTTTATATTCTAAAAGAATTTTTTTCGTGTTCAAGTTTTCATCATTTTATGTTTTCACGTTTGCTGCAATTTTTCAGATTTATTGTATTTTATGTAATGTTTATACCATTATATTTGAACACGTGTATTATATTGAATGTGTTTGTCAACACGTGCCCAAAGTGGGTACTTGCTATTTAATGTTGATCTACAACGTAGAAATTCACACAGCCAAAACAACAAGCGTAAGGATGTTCGTACATACGTCGACACAACCGCAAAACGACTAAGTTATGAATATGCATGGGCCAAGATTGTACTTCGACACAACCGTCAGTTCGACATACTAAAGTTCGACTCATCGGGCTTTGACTGTTCTATGTATACAATACAAAGCAAAATATTTTGGCACTCAGAGCTTATATATTATGGTAACTCTCGAATCCATTCAATAACGACATGTCTTCCCTTTGTAACATGTTACACTGTTAGGAATACACTTTCTTAGTAAAGTACAGATTCTAGTACTTCGCCAGCACACAAAGTTAGGCGCCTAACCCGCTCAGCCACTGGCGATTTAGGTGCGTGACTCTGAGGGTGTGGGTTCGAATCCCGGATGGGACTCAACCCAACAAAATTTAAAGTACTAGAATCTGTACTTTACTGAGAGTGTAATCCCAAATATATGTTACATTTATACTGACGAAAACAAATAAGGGAACGCGGGAAAGTACAAGCGGTCCATTATTGTTCCAGGTTTCCTAGCTCGCTCAGTATTGCACTGTGGGTGAAATTCTGAGAGCGAATGTGGGAACACTGCAATGATTTGGCGTTCCCTTATATGTTTTCTATATTCGGGCACTATGACTTAAATAGCCAAATACATCTACAACCACACATACGTTGAACATATTGGTTACACATGTACAGAACACACGGTATAACATACATTAAACATTTTATTAGAAGCAACAAAACATCAACAAAGGGTAAATGTCAAATGAAAGCCAAAGATCAAACAGTATATCATCGCTGTCTTCTTACACTGTAAATATGTCTTAGGAAATAACTTCCTGCAATTTATACAGCGGTTATAAATATCAACAAAGGCTGAATCCCATGGTCTCAAGAGACTTATATATCATCCCTATAGTAGATTTAAGACCCAATTTCAGATAATAAATAACATTGCAAAGTTATTTACAATCAGCAGTAATTATGCACACAACAGCGCGAATAACATAGTTGTCTCCCTTGGACACACCAGAAGCCTTAATAGTCGTGGGTAGGAATGATGGTTAGGCTTCTAGACTTGTCAACACTGCACCTATGTACGTCGGTACAAATCTCAGATCTGCATCACTTCGGGTTTCTATCCCTTATGCTGTGATGTAACTGGATCCCAATCATTCATGTACATAATCATGTTATGATAATAATAATAATAATATGTAGCTTATATTGCGCTTAATTCCATGCATATGTATCCTCAGAGCAAGACAGGGAGAGTGGAAATGTACATGCCAGAGAAGCACAGGTGCAACACAAAGTGCTAGTTGAATAATAACGTCTTGAGCTGACGTTTGAATTGTGTCACTGATGGAAGAGCGTTCCACGGTTGTATCGATACGTTAGAGAATGATCGTCCTCCGAAGTGTTGCGAACATGATCTGAGTCTTCTGGCTGGATGACACTCCCTGTTCAATTCGCAAAGATAGCTTGGCGCTGTTCTGTTGGCACATTAGGAGGTGAGTGTCAAGACTTTGAACTGGATTCTCTTCTGGACTGATAGTGAGTGCCGGGACTTATGTCTCAGTAATAAATCATCTCATACTATCTAATCTGTTAACTGTGACAGATAATACAATTACAGTCAATGATCACAAAAGAATGTCTAATGTCTCCTTCGATGCAATAAAGTGTATTATATTTTCACAAACTCAAAACTAATTCTAATCTATGACGATTAATATTGATATGTAACAAGGCGAAAGGTACAATCAACATAATCTAGTTTACATAGGTCAAAGGAAGATGTGTCTCTCTTCCATTTGTAAAGAGGTGAAAATCTTGTGGTAAATATGCTGAATACAGACTACTCACTCACTCACGCACTCACGCACTCTCGCTCTCAGGCATTCAAGCACTCACTGTTCAAGACGTCAGCGTAAGTATCACACACAGCGTTCAACAAAAGCGTCATGTAATGTAAAAAGATATTAAAATTGATAAAACACCTCATAAATGGCTGGCAATTCTGACACTTGTTTCGTCGCAAGCTTTTGAAACAGCTGCTGAGGGCTGCAGCCCCATACAGTATAGGGGCGATGGGGTAGCCTATGGTTAAAGCGTTCGCTCGTCACGCCGAAGGCCCGAATTCTATGCCCTACATGGCTACAATGTGTGAAGCCCATTTCTGTTGTTGCCGCGACATTGTTGGAATATTGCTAAAACCGGCCTAAAAACCAAACTCACTCACTCACTCACTCGAAGTATACTACCCAAAAAAAATATGGGAACACTCTAAAATTTGATGGTGATATGCAAAATTAATAGTGATGAGGTTATTTATACTCCGAGGTAAATGCAACTTTTTGACAAAGTTTCGTTTCACTCAAACTCAACGAATATTTAATCAGTTGCTTCACAGCAAGTTCTAACATGTCGTTTAAAGTGCCCATTAAGCACACAAAAAGTTGCATTTACCTCATAAATGACCTTATAAAAGTATAAATGACCTCACCACGTTTAAGTTTATATATGACTATCAAATCTTTGGGTGTTCCCATACATTTTGTTTGTAGTATACAATGAGCACGTGTTTATGAATCATTGATAACATCGGGCGAACCTCGTGGTTAACCACACACATCTCTGTGACCCTTGAAAGCAGCTATCATCAATGGAGTCTTTCCATACTGTCCAACACGGTTAATATCGAACAGTTTACTGGAAATGATATGGCTAACAATTGCTAGGCAACCACCCTCACATGCCAAATGTAGCATAGTGTTACCATAATCATCAACACCAGTCAGATCAGCCTTTCTGTTATTGGTGAGATAGTGGTACAGTGGACTGTTACCATGGTGAGCTGCCACCATGAGTGTTGTTCGCGAGTGTTGACCTTTTGTGTTCCATCTATCACCAAGATGCGGTATGAGTGTTTTCACAAGCTCTGTATATCCATTCATGCATGCCAAATGAATAGCTGTGTTTTGAGTCTTGTTTCTCGTCAGTGGATCTGCACCAGCATCCAACAAGAACTTCACAATTGACTTTCTGTTTCTGATCACAGCAAGCATAAGAAAGGAGTTGCCGTCTGAATCACTAAAGCTTAGCTGACTGTTTGGATCAAGCATATTCTGCCATAGATACAAGAAATAATTTGTCTGGTTCAGTCTAAGGCAAGACGTGAGACCGTCACTGATGTGTGCCCGTGACAGTTCCTTTTGCTGTAATACTTTCTTACGCATGTAATCATTGCCAGACCGAAGGACCCAGTACAGGAAACCGTGTGTAATAGCAGAATCCTGTTCTTCTCGTAAGTCTAACACCTCCTTAAGAGTTTCTCCAAGTTCGGCAAAGAACCTGTCTATGTTGCCCTCCTTGGTGAGGACTGGGTGGGACAATGTATTCCTGAATTCCCCTCTCCTAACACATCCAATCAACTGGTCAATGAGCTTGTCGTTGTTACTTCTGGAGATAAGAATAGTACTCTGATTGGGCGATGCCAAGTCATCACCTTCAAAAACGGCAGTGCAGTGTTTCCACAGACTTCCGGGGAACCTTGTATCAACATAGAACACACAGACATCGTATGTCAAAGGGTCATTGAAACATACTGTGTTGCCCTTTTGGGACAGGTAGGTCTCATTTAGTTTGTGTATGATGTCAGGAAGGCCGCCTTTGTCAACAGTAGGAAAGAGCGTGTCAACTGCGTCAAGTGCATTGCCGTCAACAGCTTTAAAGACATATTCATTCCGGGGAGGATCAATAGGAACATCATCAACACGAACAGAATTATTGGCAGTAGGATACAGGTCATCAGCCCTCAGTGCGCGCATATACTCTTCTGAAACAATGTTCAGAGATTCCGATTCCGATTCGGTTTCAGATTCAGATTCAGACTTAGATTCAGATTCAAGAGTATCACTATCGCTACAGCTGATAAGGTCAACTTTGTTTCTTGATACCAGAACATACAAAATTCCAGCAGCATAGTTCTGATTCTCAAATAGTTTTTCTACTTCTGTACTGAAGTATGTGTGAGGGCTTGTAAAATATGTGAGAGGATCAGTCACAGGGCTATCCTTCCAGAACCGTTTAATGACCTTCGGAAAACCAACATAATACTGAGGCAGCTGTGCAGTGATCTTATCCCGAGTTTCGTCTGGTATGTCTGTCTGCAGCTGTAACATTCGAGAATATTCGTCTTTGGTTCTCTCCCAGTTCATGTTTCGTGTTTTTGTAATGTTCACAGTGATTGTATTTGTTCTGAGCAGACGTTTTACAAATTGGGCTTCTTCCTTATCGTGTTCTTCTATGACAACTAGACGCACGTTCTTCCTTTTACGCGAGAATGTCTCATGGATGTAAGGATACATGTCATCGAGCACCACAAGTGTAGACTGCTTTGACTGAAGTATTTTTGGATTGAAGTCCTCCAGTCTGCTGTAGATGACAGTGTTGTAGCCTTCTTGCTGATAGTCGTAACAGAGTTTTTGTCCAATTGTGGTCTTGCCTTCACCATGGCTACCAATTAGTATAAGAAGTCCATTTTGTTGCAGTTTGGCTCTGGCGTCATGGTAAGCAGCCGTCTCAACAAATAGATCAGTCCATTCTGAAACAAAGATGGACCTGACAATAGCATTACTGTGCTGAAACGTTATCAGTCACCCCTAGGCGTCTGTGTTAGAAACAGAACCTTGTATGGTCTGTTTGCATTGAGTGAAATTTCACTTTAAAGAAAAAGGAAATCGAATAAAGTCAAATTAAGATTGTGAATGGTCATCATTTTACCTTGCCAATTGGACATTTAAATCTCAGAATTCTATTCAACTTAGGATAAAAGTTGTTTAAGAAACGACCATAGTTTCAAATCGCTATTATTGGTTCGTATTACAAGGGAGTAAGCAGGAATTAAATTATGATACCCAACGTGAGGCTGGAATGAATATGCTTGTCTACTATTGGAAAAGGTGTGAACGCGATATTGTTCAAAACAAAGGGAAACTGCTCACCACTCTGCCTCACAGATACTTGTTGATCGAGCATCATTTTGAAAAATATCTCTCTGGCGCTATCCAGCAACTCTGCATTGTATTGTAGAGATCCAGGGAGTGTATACTTCTCAACATTTGATTGTAGGCATTCGACAGTTTTATGAAAATTGTCAGGATGCTTCCACTCATCGGGTCCTATCACGCCATGAAGGAGATGAAAGTTGGATCCATGTTTCCTCCTTACAATGTATGTGAGACTCTGGGCGAGTGTGGAGTTGTAGTGTAAGGCATCATCAACTTCAGCTTCTACGAACGTAAGGACTTTAACCGTCCTATCTTCCCCAAAGACATAGGCATCACATACGACGCTGTGTGGAGCTGGAACCTCCTCTTCTGGCTCCAGGAACGTGAGCAGTGGAGAGTTGACGTAGATACAGTGCGTCGCAGGAATTGATTGGATGGAACGAAGAATACATTTGGGAAGGTACAGCTCCACATCTTTTGGGTAAATGCCACCTATTACAAACAACAAAAGTTTATTAGACACTGATACATTACCATTTGTTCTCCAATAAAATAAAACTTTAGAGCAAAAGAATTAACACAGTTGAAAATTTGACAAACAATTTAAAAACATTACTTGTCTGAAACCAGTGCACTGATACTGATTGACATGAGGAATGTAATGCCGTCTATGTCACTTGGCGTTGGGGTAGCTTAATGGTTACAGCGTTCGCACGTCACATCGAAGACCCGGGTTCGATTCCCCACATAGGTACACTGTGTCAAGCCCATTTCAGGTTTCGTGATAATGGTGGAATATTGCTAAAGCGGCGTAAACCCATACTCACTCACTCGCTATAACACCTGTATCAATTACATCGCCATTGACATAATCAGTTCATGTCGGTTTCGGTCCCGATCATCATCAAACAAACGTAGGTCTATACTTTGCTGCTTAGGTATTCTCAGCTCATGATTGAGTTAGTGAGTGAGTGATTTAGGTTTTACGCCACTTTTAGCAATATTCATCAGTATCACTGTACAGGTTGTTCAACTTGACCTGATCAAGTGAATACTAATGCATTACGTGACCGTGTCACAACTGGTTGGGTCTATTATTGTGAAGGTGTGCGCCTTTGTCAGCTGATTGTCAACATGTCCGAACAGCCTAGACAAGGTCGCCGTTTGGCATCTCAGTGTCGAGAAATCGCCAGCAATGTCCTTACTTTGTTTACACGGTCACACAGGAATCAGGCTACCTCCATACCACGCAGATCTGAACCCAATCGAACTTATATGGGCCAATGTGAAATTTTTTGTAGCTGCCAAAAATGTGAAGTGTCCTATTACCGATGCTAGGAAATTCACTGAGGCGAGGTTTCTTGAAATTGGAGTAAACGAGTGGACTGATTTATGTGCCCATGTTGAAAATTTGCAAAGCGATTACTGGGACAGAAATATTGCAGTTAAACATGAAATAGAAAAAGTGATAATTGAACTGGGTGGAGAGAGTGATAGCGAGAGTGAATAGGATTCTGAAAGTAACTGACTGTACATTGTAAAGTTAGTAAACCAAACTAGATAGCATATGACTGTAAAAACAATTCAATTGAAACATGAAGTGATTTTTTTTTCAGAAGTGTTGTTTTCCGGGACAAGTTCTGTAACGAATCCATGTATGCATGTTTCGCACGAACGCAACAATCACAACATTTTCTGCTCCCCTATTTAATTAAGTTAACTCGACCAGCTGTTTGTGCCATTTGACCTCCCGGATCATGCATATGTAGAGTAGCTCAGGTCAAGCTGAATAACCTGTAGTTGTCACCAGAATTAGGTTTTACACGTCGTACCAATATTGGGAATCAACCCCGGGTCTTCGGCTTGATGTGCAAACGGTGTAAACATTAGGCGCTCCATCGCCCGCAAGATTGTCTTATGATGTTGAGATGTAGAATATTTTACAGTCATGACTGACTGACTGAGTTTCGTTTTACGCCGCTTTTAGCAATATTCCAGCAACATCACGGCGGGGGACACCAGAAATGGGCTTCACACATTGTGCCCATGTGGGGATTCGAACCCGGGTCTTCGGCGTGACGAGCCAACGCTTTAACCACTAGGCTACCCCACCGCCCCTTTACAGTCATGATGCATATCATGGTGCATATCATGCATATCGTGCTTTGAACGTATCCACGTTGAGCGAGAATATTTACACAGACTATAGTACACACTCCTGCATATGCTACAAGGTGCAAACAAATATACTTACCCTTCTCAATATCAAAGTGATTATGGTATACCAGAAATGAGTAACCTGAAAAAAGAAGTAGGTTGTGTCAAAGAGTAAAATTAAACGATCATGAGCAAAATACCATCACGTTGATTTGGACGCTTAAAAAGGTCAGTGCAGTTACCTACGTTCAACTGCCGACCTGGGTGCCGTTCCACTAACCGATCTTAGCCCTATGCCAATCGTAAACCCCTAAAATCCCAATCTTAGCGTGACGTTACGATCGGCATACCGTTCCACTAACCAATCTTACCCAAGTCAATCGTAAAGTTAAGATTCAAAGTCTAAGTTGCTCATGACCAACTTAAGATAGCTAAAATCAATCGTAGCGAAACCAAAATGGTGGCTTTCCTATTCTATGTGAAAAATAAGAGCGAGCATTTCACCGTGAGCGTCCCCTAAAGTCCCCCCATGAAATGAATTTGTATATTTCTGTGATGTAAACAAACACTGCACTGAAGCCTTACAAATGCCAGGCCAGTCTGACCACTGTCGTCATGGGAACACAACCGAGCGAGTCGGTGTAACACATTTGTACAACAATATTGCAACGTCATGGTTAAGAATAGGGACCGCCGTGAAGTGAACAATGTTCTGAAGCAAAAAGATACAAATATGCTTGATTTCACTGGGCATATTTGGTGGGGGACTCTAAAGGCAGGCCGCGTGTTATTCAAGACCACTGACAGATTCTACATACGTTATAGCCTCGTCACGCCTTGTTTATTCTGATTGACAAGGTTCAGGCACATATTAAAAGCTCTGACACAATTGACATTTTTAAAGTCCAGACTTAAAACCTGTTCTCAGTATATTACTTATAATCTCGGCTGTAAATATTCTCGTGTAAATTATCTGTACACAGCGCTTTGAGCATGCCCAAGGATGTGGAATAGGTGCACTATAAATATGCATTTATTATTATTATATTATGCTTGATACCCGGCGTCGCACTTGCACCTGAAACCAAGGTGCTCACTACCCTAATATTTTGCTCTAGGTTTTTCTCCACGTTTACACTTGGTTGGAAAAATGCCATGAAGGCAGGTTAGAATATTGATCTTCAATAACCCATGCCTGTCGTAAGAGGCCACTAACGGGATCGGGTTCGGTCAGGCTCGCTGACTTGGTTGACACATGTCATCGGTTCCCAACTGCGCAGATCGATGCGCATGCTGTTGATCACTGGATTGTCTGGTCCAGACTCGATTATTTATAGCTAAGATACATAGCGTTCACTAGCATGAACGCTCATGTTGAAATGAACGCTATGCATCTTAGCTAGATTATTTACAGACCGCCGCCATATAGCTGGACTATTGCTGAGTGCGGCGTAAATCTAAACTCACTCACTCACTCAGTTGGTTCGTAAACTACTTTCTATCATTTGCTAGACTATGCAAAGGGAGATAACTCGTGCCTCGCATTCCTCTATCTCTCGCACGAAAGAGTCTCGAACTAAGCTTGGATCGGATCGTAAGATCGGGACCGGCTACGATCGGCCTAAGATCGGTTAGTGGAATGGGTGTAACTTTTAGCTAAGACGATTGTAAAATTGGCGTAACTTGCTAAGATTGATCTTAGATAAGATCGGTTAGTGGAACGGCACCCTGGGCCTCCTTTCACAAAGCACTGAGGTGATCGTAAGTCACTAGGGTAATCTTAGTGCAACGTTAAAGAATGGGAGTTAAGGTTAACCTTAGCAAAGGTTGCTTCGTAAAAGGAGCCCCTGACAAGAGTTAGAAATATAAAACGTGGCCGATATCTACCAGCAATGGGATTGCTGAAAAGGATTTATTCGTCTCTCTGCGATGAAAAGTTTCATATTGAAAGGGTCTTTGCATCAATGTTTGTTCGAAACACAACATAACTTAGGCGGGATATGGTGTTTACTGTTCGGTAACACGCTCCATTTCTTTCAACAGCCCCCACCCCCCGACCCAGAATGATGATCGAGTCACTTACAACTGAACTCCAAGGGCCTTTTTCCCTGGGAATGCATTCCTCTGTACTTGTGGTTAGAGCACTCGACAACATCGTCAGAGCTGTAGCTACTGGACAGTTCTGAGTCGTCACTGTCCACGGAGGAACCCATACTGCTCAAAGGTTGTCGTCAATGTAGTCGTTCAAATGTTCACGTCGAGGACAGAGTTCAGTTCAAGTACGCATAAGGAGATTTCTGATGTTGCCTACCCTTGTATTACTGAAATACCTTTTATAGCAGTAAAAAATGATGTACGATGCCTCATTCCTCAGCTGACTTTGTGTTTATTCCTTTCCAGGAAGGCAGCTGTGTTATTCTGTTCCACCACTTTTCTTTGTCCATCCTTTCAATATTTCCCTCTAATATTTCATAGGTACGAGGTCCGCCCTTGTCAGAGAATACTAAACCACTGAAATATCCAACAGCCACTTCCAAAACATATTTTTGGGGTGAAATATTGTATGTTTCAATCTTTATCAAAGATGGAGGGAGCTGATCGAATGTTCCATTGTGATGTAACACGCACACATTTGCATTGATCTTATCAGTAATAGCCTTCTTAAAGGTTTCTGGATTGGTAATTTGAAAACCTTCCTCTGTGATAACTTTCTTCTTATAACCACCCTTTGTGTCCACCTTTTCCGCTAGTCCTACATAATATGATCCCCCTCCATGGACCTTCGATAAGGATGTCAAGTTATCTTTTAGCTTCAGATCATCCCAGATGTAGCCCACCAGATCTAAGTCTGACTTCTCCCCTTGGTCTGGCAAGGACTTGATCTCGGTATTCCGACATTCGTGGGGGGTCTGTTTAAGACGTCTTAAAGTAGCATCAACATTCTCTCTGTCTTGGCCATGTGCGAGAATGGAAACAATATTCCAAGTAGACGCATTTAACTTTTCGAAATCATTGCTAATCTTTGTGTTGAAGTTAACAGTGGAAATACAGCAGGTGTTTTCAACGGTAATTAATAAAACATCCGCAAACGGTTTGAATCCGATCAGATCACAAAGCCACGTGCAAACATAACTGTCAGTGTAGGACTTTCCACACTCAGCAAACTCATGAAAGTACTCCAAAAATCTGTCGCCCCTTGTATGGCCGTCTAAGTGAACAAGAAGATGCCCTCCGTGGGTGTTCCTGAGTGCCGATACCTTCTTTTCAATATCCTGAAGGATTTCTTTCTTCTTCTTTTTCACGTCTTTATTCTTCCCTCGGCCAGTGATGACCTCTCTCTGTGCGTGTACTATGAATACATTCGGTGCGTTGTTTCGAGAGACATACGCGCGCTCTACATTTCTGCATACTTCACATTTTTCTGCAAAGGAAAGGATAGTGTAAGTCAAACAATCCCTTCCCACTCCTTCCACAACGAATCACTTGACTAGAAGAATTTTTCTATTGTGTTTATAATTACTCGTCAAACCGAAGACCCAACAATGGGCACAATGTGTGAGGCCCATTTCTGGTGTCCCCTGCCGTGATAGTGCTTGAATACTGCTAAAAGCGGCTTAAAACTGACCTCACTCAGTCACTGTTGTATTTACTGTTACAGTGGATTTGATTCTTAGTACAAAATGATTCGGCAAATATCTACGCTTACGGTATCAGGTCGAGTGGTGTTTATGTGAACGTTTATGGTTTAAAGACATCGGCGAAATAGACAATACCATGCAGACACGCCAGGCAATTATTAGACCGTGTCCAAGGAATGTGAGACTTTAATAAATAATCTGTCTGTCTGTTGAGGAAAGATACTCACTCTCGTTAGATTGTATTTGTGTTTGACTTCCCCCAGTTGCCATAACAAGTTAGCTTCCATGTGGTATGGTAAAGCTGAAAGCAATGGAAACCCCATAATAATATACTATAGGGATGAAAACGTATTTTAGCAAATGGTTTTGGTTGGTTGGTTGTTTATCGCTGCAATATTCCAGCTATATGGCGGCGGTCTGTAAGTAATCAAATCCCGATTAGACAGTCAAATGATCAACAACATGAGCATCGATCTAAAGAATTGGGATAGGATGACATGTGTCAGCCAAGTCAGCGCGCCTGACCACCCGGTCCCGTTAGTCGAATCTTACGACAAGCATGTGTTACTGAAGATCATTTCTATCCCGGATCTTCACGGATTGGACCAATGCATGTGACTGGAATAAAAAGTGTAAATAGTTCATTCCACCAACAGTGTATCAACATATTGGTGCAATGTATAACTATTTTGCCAGCAATATTGCGTGACCACATTGGTGCAGTGTATATAGTACATTCTGTCAACATTGTGTCACCATATTGGAGCATTGTACATAGTACATTGCATCAACATTGTGTCACCATATTGGAGCATAGTATATAGTACATTCTGTCAACATTGTGTCAACATATTGGTGCCTTGTATATAGTACATTCTGTCAACATTGTGTCACCATATTGGAGCATTGTATATAGTACATTCTGTCAACATTGTGTCAACATATTGGAGCATTCTATATAGTACATTCCATCAACATTGTGTCAACATATTGGTTCATTGTATATAGTACATTCTGTCAACATTGTGTCAACATATTGGTTCATTGTATATAGTACATTCTATCAACATTGTGTCAACATATTGGTACAGTGTATATAGTACATTCTGTCAACATTGTGTCACCATATTGGTGCAATGTATATAGTTCATTCTGTCAATATTGTGTCACCATATTGGTGCAATGCATATAGAACATTCTGTCAACATTGTGTCACCATATTGGTACAATGTATATAGTACATTCCATCAACATTGTCTCAACATATTGGTGCATTGTATGTAGTACATTCTGTCAACATTGTCTCAACATATTGGTACAATGTATGTAGTACATTCCATCAGCATTGTGTCACCATATTGGTGCAATGTATATAGAACATTCTGTCAACATTGTGTCACCATATTGGTACAATGTATATAGTACATTCCATCAACATTGTGTCACCATATTGGTGCAGTGTATATAGTTCATTGCATCAACATTGTGTCAACATATCATTCTGTCAACATTGTTGTCAGCATATTGGAGCCTTCTGCTAGTACATTCTGTCAACATTGCAATGTATATATAGTACATTCTGTCAACATTGTCAACATATTGTTCATTGTATATAGTACATTCTCATGTTGGTGCAATGTATATAGTACATTCTGTCAACATTGTGTCACCATATTGGTGCAATGTATATAGTTCATTCTGTCAACATTGTGTCACCATGTTGGTACAATGTATATACATTACATTCTGTCACCATACATTGTATGTCATTCCATCATTGTCTCAACATATTGTATATAATTCTGTACATTCTGTCAACATTGTGTCACCATATTGGTGCAATGTATATAGTACCATTGTCAACATTGTGTCACCATTATTGGTTGCAATGTATATAGTTCATTGTCAACATTGTGTCAACATATTGAGGTGCAATGTATATAGTACATTCTGTCAACATTGTGTCACCATATTGTATATAGTACATTCTGTCATTGTATATAATGTATATAGTACATTCTGTCAACATTGTGTCACCATATTGGTGCAATGTATATAGTACATTCTGACAACATGTCAACCATTGTCTGACAACATCAGTCACCATATTGGTGCAATGTATATAGTACATTCTGTCAACATTGTGTCACCATATAGTACATTCTGTCAACATTGTGTCACCATATTGGTTGCATTGTATATAGTACATTCTGTCAACATTGTGTCAACATATCAACATTGTCTCAACATATTAGTATATATGTACATTCTGTCAACATTGTCTCACCATATTGGTTGCAATGTATATAGTACATTCTGTCAACATTGTCTCACCATATTGGTGCAATGTATATAGAACATTCTGTCAACATTGTGTCACCATATTGGTGCAATGTATATAGTTCATTCCATCAACATTGTCTCAACATATTGGTGCATTGTATGTAGTACATTCTGTCAACATTGTCTCAACATATTGGTACAATGTATATAGTACATTCCATCAGCATTGTGTCACCATATTGGTGCAATGTATATAGAACATTCTGTCAACATTGTCTCACCATATTGGTACAATGTATATAGTACATTCCATCAACATTGTGTCACCATATTGGTGCAGTGTATATAGTTCATTGCATCAACATTGTGTCAACATATCGGTGCAATGTATATAGTACATTCTGTCAACATTGTCTCAACATATTGGTACAATGTATATAGTACATTCTGTCAACATTGTATATAATACATTCTATAGTACATTCTGTCAACATTGTGTCATCATATTGGTACAATGTATATAGTACATTCTGTCAACATTGTGGCACCATATTGGTACAATGTATATAGTACATTCTGTCAACATTGTCTCAACATATCGGTGCAATGTATATAGTACATTGCATCAACATTGTCTCAACATATTGGTACAATGTATAGAATACATTCTGTCAACATTGTGTCATCATATTGGTGCAATGTATATAGTACATTCTGTCAACATTGTGTCACCATATTGGTACAATGTATATAGTACATTCTGTCAACATTGTCTCAACATATTGGTACAATGTATATAGTACATTCTGTCAACATTGTGTCACCATATTGGTACAATGTATATAGTACATTCTGTCAACATTGTGTCACCATATTGGTGCAATGTATATAGTACATTCTGTTAACATTTTGTCACCATATTGGTACAATGTATATAGTACATTCAGATAACATTGTGTCACCATATTGGTGCAATGTATATAGTACATTCTGACAACATTGTGTCACCGTATTGGTGCAATGTATATAGTACATTCTGTCATTATTGTGTCACCATATTGGTGCAATGTATATAGTACATTCTGTCAACATTGTGTCACCATATTGGTGCATTGTATATAGTACATTCTGTCAACATTGTCTCACCATATTGGTGCAATGTATATAGTACATTCTGTCAACATTGTGTCACCATATTGTTGCAATGTATATAGAACATTCTGTCAACATTGTGTCACCATATTGGTACAATGTATATGGTACATTCCATCAACATTGTCTCAACATATTGGTGCATTGTATGTAGTACATTCTGTCAACATTGTCTCAACATATTGGTACAATGTATATAGTACATTCCATCAGCATTGTGTCACCATATTGGTGCAATGTATATAGAACATTCTGTCAACATTGTGTGACCATATTGGTACACTGTATATAGTACATTCCAACAGCATTGTGTCACCATATTGGTGCAGTGTATATAGTTCATTCTGTCAACATTGTGCCAACATATCGTTGCAATGTATATAGTACATTCTGTCAACATTGTCCAACATATTGGTACATTGTATATAGTACATTCTGTCAACATTGTGTCACCATATTGGTGCAATGTATATAGTACATTCTGTCAACATTGTGTCACCATATTGAGTTCGCAATGTATATAGTACATTCTGTCAACATTGTGTCACCATATTGGT